CTCTGCACACGCTCTGCATCTCTCTCTCTCTCTCTCTCTCTCTCTCATTCAGCTCAGCTCCAACAATGAATTGTTCCAATTATACACTTATTTTCACATAGCTCTGAGAAGCATTATACATGGACGTGCGTGCAGTTGCATTATAAAAACAGGAAAAGATCAGCCCGTTTCTCAGAGAAGGGACAGAGCGGTGTGGAATATATGTAAATTATGTGAAAAATAATGCGTTTTTTTAAAAACAAAGCATTAACACATGTTAGACTGCACCCCATAAACACAATCAAGCCTAGAAAAAAAACAGTGAACCACCCCTTTAAAATATTTATAATTAATATAATAATAAATAAAAAACAAACAATTAGAAAACAATGAACAATAATATATTTATAAGTATATTTATAAATTAGCATTAACCTAGATTAATAAATGCTGTAAAAAATGGTTTTCAATGATATCTGTATTAACTAAATGTTAATGATTTGGACTTTGGACAATGCATTAGATAATACAAATATCAAAACAAATGACATTTATTTTAAAGGAAGAGAAAAGGACGACAAAAGTACTGTGTTGTGAACTGTTGAACTACACCTGTGACTGAACACATGTGTGAACTTGAGCAGATCTGACTTCATACATCCATGTGAGAGAGATCCAGGACGACTGAGCGCAGGTTATTTTGGGGACATGGAGAGAGTGGGAGTCTCAGCCGCTTGACCTCTGACCTCCACACTGCTCGTGTCTTTGTGAGACCGGCACAGCTGCCACCAGTGAGTGTGTATCTATATCTGTCTGTTAACGTGTGTGAGAGTCCGTGTGTATGTTTGTCTAAATATGTCTCTCCGTTAAAACGATGTCTCATCTGTGACTCCAACTGCTGGAGACGCTTAACCCTGTGTTCTCACCGCGAGAAAACTCATTCAGATACATCCAGAAGGCTTTGTTTTACATTGTTCACAAAAAAAAAGAGCATCAGTAATGAATGACAAAAGCAGGCAGAGAGAAAAAACAGAGCTAGAAATAGCTAGAAAGAGAAACAGAGCTGAACTGGATTTGAACTCATTTATGGATTTGTATTCTGACAGAATGAAGCAAAACACTCATGTGACCCAAATCTGTCTGTATTGATGCGTTTGTTTGTGATTGGTGATGGGCCTCTGCATGGTTAGATATTCAATATGAATGCGTACTTCAGAAAAAAAAGGAGCTGAAGTTCACCTTAATGACCCTAAAATGTATTTAGATGCTTGATTCACACTTCAGAATGTCAAAATGTCATTGGATTTAAAAAACAAAATATCAAAGCAACTGCACTGTAGGGTCTTCTCACATTTTTCTCACTGTATTTAAATTAGTTGGTGTTTTAAAGAAGTGTGTGTTCATTTGCAACACTACATCTATTGTTTTAGCATTTATTTTTTTTCTGAAAAGTGTGCCTGTGCTGTTTTTATTTTTTTAATAAATGCCTTTACATAAAATAATAAATGCAAATGTGTTCAAAATGTATTAATAATGAATGAATTAATAATGAATTGAACAGTGATAAAATATATACATAATCGAAATAAAACGTGTAGATTATATATTTAGGTTATATAATAAAATATATTAATAATAGTGCTGTCAAACGATTAATCGCGATTAATCACATCCAAAATAGAAGTTTTTGTTTACATAATGTATGTGTGTGTACTGTGTATATTTATTATGTATACTGTATATTAAGACACACACATACAGCATATATTTTGAATATATTTACATGTATTTACGTGTATATATTTATTTTCATATAAATTATATCATATATAAATATGTTTAATATATAAACGTCACGTATTTTTCTTAAATATATACAAGCATGTATGTGTATTTATATATACATAATAAATGTACACAGTACACACACACATATTATGTAAACAAACATTTTGGATGCGATTAATCGCGATTAATCGTTTGACAGCACTGATTAATAACGTTACACAATGCAACATTACCCTAGATTAACAACTAATAATGTAACTTTTTATTTAGATGATATATACTTTGTGTGCGTGTAAACACACACACATAAAAAAATTGTTTTGACAATTTTGACATGGTAGGATCAGCATGCAGTACTGAATTTTGTGGTTGAGGTTACTTTATGAAAAAAATGGGGAGTTTAAAAAATTGCCAACTTGCCTTTGCACTGTATTTTAATTAAGTTAGATTGTTTTATCATGACTTATTTTAAGTAATCTTGAAAACATCATGTTCCTGGCCCCTGATTGAGAACCACTGACCCAAAGTATCTTTTCTCCATCTGACAGTAAAGTTGTGTCCCGAACAGAAGGCTGTGATGGATCTGCCACTAGAGGGATCTGCAGCGTCTGATGAAATCCAGCCGCTCCTCACCTGCATGCTGCTGTTTACAGTGAATGCTGTAATAATACTGAATAAACTGACAAAATTCACTATGATTTCTCTGATTTTGAGGCAGTAGGCGGCTCTGCACTGCTCTGTGTGTTTTTGCTCTGCAGCGATGGCAGTTGTGTGTGAGTGGCGCAGTAGGAAGGGCTTTAGGGACGCGAGCTCTCCAGCTCTTATCAGGCTTTAGTGAAATCCTCACTCAGCAAATGTGAATGAGACTCTCTCAGTGACGCATCCCCACAGGAATCTCTCTCTCACATACACTAACCTGCATGGACTGAAGTGTGGAAACACATTACTAATGTTTCACACATCCACAGTCTGTGAAGAGCAACATTTGTCCACTAAAAGGTCAGTTATTTGCTACGTTATAGGTTTACGGGTTATTATACAAGCTAATATTTACCAGAAGCATCAAAATAAATTCTATTCTATTCTATTCTATTCTGCTCTATAGGAAAACCAGGACAAGTTGTCAAATGTGGAAGTTGTCACAGTGGGAGTCCAGTATCTAGGTATGTTTTATAAATGTCAAGTCGGGGCAGGTTGTCACATTTTATAATATGTTTTGTAATTTTATACAATTATTTACAGTTTCTATGCACCAAAACAGTGGTTTGATATAATTATTCTCTTTTATATTTTTGCTTTCACAAATTCATTTGCATTATAGTTTTGTTTAATGGTTTATTAGTTATTCATATTTATTTTACTGTTTAAAATTTGCTGAAAAGTCATTAAAAAGCAGGCCAGACTGAAATCAACAGGGAGTCCAGAAATTATGGTTCGATCTAGTTTCTGGGCTAAATGAAAATATGCATTGAAGAAAAATACAATATTAAGTTTAGAAGTTTTTTTTTTTTACATTTCCACTTCAATATTAAAATTAAAAAATGTCAAAAATGTACATATGTACTGTACATACATATGACTCTGTACCAGTGTTGTTATTGTTAACACTATTAAAAATTGTTTTGTTAATTGAAATAAAGCTTGAATAAAATAAAATATTAATATTAGATAAAAATCTTAAACTTAAAAATAATAATAATAATTTATGACAGTGTTTTAGTGCCACATAAGAAATAATAATAATTAAAAAAAATCTAAATTTGCGAGAATAAAGTCATGGCAATGTGAGAATAAAGTTAAATACGACCGTAATTTCAAAATGTTATGACTTTATTCTCATAATCTTATTTTTAATTTTTACATGCCACTAAAACTCATTGAACTGAAAAAATTAAGTTGAATAGAAATATAAAAAAACAATAACTAATAGAAATGGCACCACATGAATAAAATTAAAAGCGGAAAATATAAAAATAAAAGCTAATTCAACATATTAATAAATGCTACAATATTAAATAAATAATACTAAAATAACACTGCTCTGTACATCGAAACTGTTTATTTTAATTTAAAAAGAAAAATAATTTGCACTGATATTTTATTAAAGTGCTCCGTTTCTCTATCCAACAAGGGATGAAAAGGGAATTGAAGATCTCTTAAGGTATTTACCATAAATTTACATTTACATTTAGTAAGTTAGCAGACGCTTTTATTTTTAAATTGACTTTGAATAACATCTGTCTGTCTCATGAACGGATAGCGGTCGCTCCGGATCCAGTGGTCGCCGCTCTCCGCTCCAGGTTTTCGCTCCGCCTTTCCTTAAAAGCATTCGGAGTTTAAAGCGCAGAAAAACACGCCAGTGAGTGGAAGAGGGATCAGAGCGGCAGAGGCGGATCTAAGTGCGGTTCAGCGTGTGTGTGTGTCCGGCGGAGGATGGAGGACGAGCCGCGAGAGACCCTGGACTAACGCAGGAGGAGGAGGAGGGGGTCTTACTTTTCACATGGAACCTGTTTGCGTTTTCCTCCAAAGGTGGATTTTATACTGAAACACTACAGGACAAAATGCCATTTGCCAAGCGGATCGTGGAGCCCCAGTGGCTGTGCAGACGCGCGGACGCGGATGAGGAGGGTCTCCTGCTCCAGGACCTGTGCGCCTTCAGTAATGTAGCTCTGTCCCGGACCCTGCGCCAGCTGTCGGATCTGGCCAAACACGCCTGCTCGCTCTTCCAGGAGCTGGAGCACGAGCTGCTCGCCACGAACCGGCGCGTCTGTGCGCTCCGGGAGAAGATGAGCATGATCCAGGAGACCACCGGCGCGCTCGACCCCAAACAGGAGGCAGCGGTTCAGCGTGTGTGTGTGTCCGGCGGAGGATGGAGGACGAGCCGCGAGAGACCCTGGACTAACGCAGGAGGAGGAGGAGGGGGTCTTACTTTTCACATGGAACCTGTTTGCGTTTTCCTCCAAAGGTGGATTTTATACTGAAACACTACAGGACAAAATGCCATTTGCCAAGCGGATCGTGGAGCCCCAGTGGCTGTGCAGACGCGCGGACGCGGATGAGGAGGGTCTCCTGCTCCAGGACCTGTGCGCCTTCAGTAATGTAGCTCTGTCCCGGACCCTGCGCCAGCTGTCGGATCTGGCCAAACACGCCTGCTCGCTCTTCCAGGAGCTGGAGCACGAGCTGCTCGCCACGAACCGGCGCGTCTGTGCGCTCCGGGAGAAGATGAGCATGATCCAGGAGACCACCGGCGCGCTCGACCCCAAACAGGAGGCAGTGCGTGAGTACCTACCCCGCTCCAGGAGTGTCTTTTCTATCCAAAAATTGATGAAGAGTTCGTTTTCTCAAGGTTTAGTCCTGCGTAATGGTGATCGCTTGCACTTGCGATCTTTGGGTCACCAGTCCAGATGTTTTACCGCTCGGATACATCATACTAACAGCCCGTAAAGAGTTATGTAATAATACAAATATTTGTTTACTCTTGCGCGCTCCTGTCTCCTCTCCAGCGCGCACGACTGGTGGTCTGGTGTTTTAAGATCTGGACTTGTGACCAAAAACTTGTGGGTTTGAACCCAATCTGAAGTGATTCATCCACTTGACAAACTCTCAAAACCTCTTGTTACTCTAAGGGGAACGTGTGGTTGTTTGGTTTCTAGCTAGACCATCTTGATCAAGCTGGTTTTTAGATATCATTGTAGCTAATTACCATCCTAGACCAGCTCGAAACCAGCAAACATGTTCCAAAACGCAGCTACTGTTGGGTTGTGAGTCACTCTGGAGATTGTGTGAAAGTAGTTGGTTAGTGAAGGACAGCAGAAGGGGTGTGTGCTCCTCACAGCAGATGACATTGGGAAAACATGATTCTTGTTACTGAGAACATCATTTCCTTGTTGCATAAGAACAGATTCTGTCATTCATGCACATGTGAAAGTGAAACAAGCCTGATGTCTGTGATCCATGATAGATCCAGGCAGAGTGTCTGTTTCTGTTGGATGTTGTACTTAGTTTGTGTGGCATAATGAGTTCAGTAAGGTTAGATTGTTTTGTGTATTTGCTGATTTGCATCACATGAGTAATGCAACCCAAATGGACCTGCAAGAGTGAAAGAGAAAGTTTCTTCTTCTTCTTCTTCTTCTTCTTCTTCTTCTTCTGTTTTGAGAGTTTTAAAATCTCTGGACTTTTGGATTTTTTTTTTAAATCATGAAAGTGTTTCAATAATATTTATTAGTAATTATTTATTATATTTTGCATAATTTTCTTTTATATTTTATTGTTCAATTTGTATGTTAAATATTTAAAATATTTATTAATACTAAAACTACTACTAATAATAATTATGCACATATAAATAATTAAATATAATATATTAATATTATATTATGTTATTATTATTATTATATCTAACTTATTTCATATAATGTTTATATTTTGTATTATTTTGTTTGTTTATTTTAAATATTTTATATAATAATAATAATAACAATATCAATTTTATTTAATGTGTTGTTTTATATTTTATTTTTATTTATTTATATGTATTGTAATTGCTTTATTTAATTGTTTTATAAAATAATAATAATAATTATTATTTTTTTTTTTTTTTATTATTATTTAGTAATATATTAAAA